AGGAAAAAAAAAAAAAAAACCAAAAGAGTGACGGCATTCCCTTAATGTCAAAAAGAGTCAAGGAACTAGGAAGAGTTAAAAACTTCTGTTCAATTCACCTTGCTTTTTTTTTTTTGGGTCGTTGCCTTCTCATCTCCCACTATAAAATAAGAATTGAGGAGATGGTTGTATCCAACTTCACAACTCTCTCTCTCTCTCTCACTCTCACTCTCTCACACACACACAAACTCAAAGTCATGACCATGAGAGTGCCTTGGGTAGCCTTGTGTGTCGTACTTGTTTTGGTACTTGGGGGAGCTCAGGTGTCTATGGCGGCAATCACTTGTAACGCACTTCAGCTGAGTCCATGTGCAACTGCAATCACATCCTCCACCAAGCCTACCCCAATGTGTTGCAGTAAGTTGAAGGAACAGAGGCCTTGCCTTTGCAAGTACCTGAAGGACCCAAAGCTTCAAAAATTTATCAACTCTCCTAATGCCAAGAAGGTGGCTACCACTTGTGGCACTCCATTCCCTCGTTGTTAGTCTTATGAATGTTATTACCTTAATTTCTATAATCTATACGGTCCTGGTAATAGTGTTTTCGTTTATGCTATCCTATCTAGAGAGTGCTATTTAGATATGGGAATCAAGGTGTGGGAACGGACTTTTCCTTGTATGTTTTATGTTGTGATTGTAAGCTTAGTTTGTGGGTTATAATGAATTGATGCTTGCAACATGTTATTTTGGCTGCAGGTTGAATACTTGTTGATCTTAAATAGGGCCTCTTTATGTACTATAAGGTATCAGCTCTGATCCGTTGACATGAACCTGACACGAACGATTATTAAATTCGCATAATAAGTTGTCTAATCTAATGTTTAATACTCAGAACACACTAAATAGATTTTTTTTTAATAGGTCGTGACACGAACATAAACACAAAAAACACGACCCGATTGATACTCCAATAACCATATTAGTTGACCTAATAGTAACCCAATCTCGTTATTATTCATGTCATTGTTTGGCTAACGCACATAACTTGTAAATTGAAAGTTCAGGATTATGATGCTCTTTTCTCCCACCATAGTGGACACTTATCTGTCTGTCCAAGAGATGGGAAAAAACAGAGATTGTTTTGGGTTATTTGTTATTAATATTAAATCGACTTATTTATTATCTTTATTATCTAGATAAGGAGAAAAATTATTTTTTGCAATTTTTTTTCTATGAAGAACCCAAGAAATCGCACAAATTGTTATTTCTTCGACGATTTTATCCTTTTGTTACAAATACCTATTTTGATAATTTTTTTTGCCACGTTTTTCATGCTGCATTGCAAAATTCTCATTTTATTTGGGCGAAAAATGGCGGAAAATGATAATATCTTGTGACAAAAAATTTTTGCTGAAAATAATAATTAATCATCACAAAATATGATAATCAAAAATTAAAGTAAAAATAGCGCAACGTTTTCATCTGGCATTGCGAATTACTTTTTTTTGGAATTTTTTATTGCGACAATTATTTTACTTTAAGAAGTTAAATTTGCTATTTTTATAACCAAACTGACGTAGTTGTGGGGCCTTTAAAAAAACCCCTTCCCAAAACGGCTTCCTTTTGGAAACCCCCTAACAACTCCACACAATTCTCTCTTTCTCTCTCTCGCTCCAACCACGCAATCTTTGACCATGCCAACAAATAGAAGTCCCAAATAGGGCCTAATATGCACTCAAACATTTCATTTGTTTGGTTATGTGCATCTTGATCCTTCTTGTAACCTTTTGCTCAATTCTTGCATTTTGCGGTGAATCTTAATCTTTTCCATCGACTTTTTTGTTTTATTGTTCTCGATGATAAATCATTCAAGAGCCTAATGCAAACCTCGGATCCATGTAATTATTCGCAAACAACAAATGTTGGACTAGATTTTACTTGTCAGAGTGAATTTTCCGAAGGTATAGATTGATGCCTTACCAATTGTTTGACCAACCATGAAAAATAAAGAAGTTCAGTCTTTGGTTCATGCATGCATGGCAAAAGTTATGTATGAAGTAGAAGAGAAAATACACAAAACCCTTCATTGAAAAGCAAAACTGAAACATGGGATTGCATGTTTTTCTGCAACAGAAACAAATATATGTTGTAGAGCCCCCTTGCACAGATTGAATCTCCCTTATCTCATTCCCTGAAAACCATGAAAAGTTCATAATTAATCTTCCCGTCAAAGCCGTGGTTTCTGATCTTCTTTCCCTTTGATCATCAAGCTCGGCGGACGATAAAGTTTCTGGCGCTCCCATCGATTCCGATCAGGTCTGTACAAATAGGGTTGTTCTTTGATGCTCCAAAAGCACATGGTGCATCTTGACCTCACCGTATAAGCCCAGAAAAACCCTTGCTTATTGTCATCAATATACAAGTAGCACCAACGCATAGGGAAAGCAATTTGCGTAAACACATAGCTCAGTCTCTCTCCTGCCTTGAGCACATGCAACGCATCGCTGAATTTTGAGCCTTTGCACATACAAAAAACATCCTTGTCCCTATCATTGGCCACGGTCACCGTCACGTTTGGAAACAGGTTCCGTTTTTCAAAGCCAGCAAATGAAGGCTTGAGGAACATACAGAGCACAATGGCGAGGACTATGCAGCCGTTGGCAGTCATGATGGTGGTAAACGTGGTGGTGGAGGAGGTGGCGGATGCAATGTGGTTAAAGACGTAGAGAAGTATAAATAGTGAAAAACGCCGGAGGAGGTTTATTTGCTAGCTGTGAGTGGGTTTTGAAACAGTGGTTAAAAATAACAACCTACATATATGCATTCAAACTAATGTTTATTTTTAGCTCAAGCCAAAAAAGTAAAATGAAAAGGTCATATTTAGACAAAGCGATCCAATTTATAAAGGGCTGTTCTAAATTTAGCATGATCATGGGATCAAATGGAACTGGCAATAATTATGAATTTAAAAAACCGTTGTGTATAATTTACGCTTAGTGCTTTCAATTGCCACCAACTAGTCATTAAAGATCCATCTGCAAAAGGTTTAATCAGAGTATTTGGTCTTACAAAAGAGTGGAGGTTGTGTATAATTTACGCTTAGTGCTTTCAATTGCCACCAACTAGTCATTAAAGATCCATCTGGGCAAAAGGTTTAATCAGAGTATTTGGTCTTACAAAAGAGTGGAGACAAAAGAGAACACCCAAAAACCACCCAATAGGCCCTCACTTATGGGATCAGGAAAAAACCCAAACTCGATTCCCCCACAATGTTTAAGGTAAGGCGATCCATGCATCTGGGATGATTAAAGAGACAAGTCGGGGTTCTCCCTCTGGATGTACGGGGTACAAAACGGAAGTCCTCTCTTAGTCTCATTTACCGCAGAAGAAAAGGAAGTCCGGATGATTAACTTGATTCAGTTTAAGCCAATTATCAGCAGCCTGCAAGAGGGAGTTCACCAACTGGAGTTCGCATCCCCCATTAGGGGTCCACATGGATTCTTTAAACTTGTATGAAGCAAGACCAAAAACTGACAATGTAATCATTGGATGACAATCCATCCCATAGGGATATGAGACAATTGGAGCATGTGCGCTTTGAGTGGCTGCAAGGAGTCAAAATGCACATCTCACAGATGTTTGTACCGTAAAAACTCAGAATGCACAATCATTGAACTGAAATTTCCAGGACAAAATTATTTTCCCTCTAGACACTTTTTTTTCCCCTTCTGGGGGTGGTTGAATGAGAAGCACCGCCTAAGGTCATGACGAAAATCTGAAAGAATCTCTTGCTAGCTTGAAATAAAAAAGGAATCCGGGGAAAAGAAGTAGTTGAGACTCGAGACTTTGTCACTGTAAATCATAGAGATAGCACAGACAAGCAGACAGAAGAGGCACACAAAGTTACAGAAAGAACTTTATAAATCCAAATAAGTCTGCCCATAATCCTAATGGTCAAGGGTTAGTTTAAGACAGCATGTATTACAATTCTTATGATAAGACACCATGTATTAAATCAAAACATACCAAAAGAATTAGAAAAAAAACACAAAAAGATGAGAAGGAAGACTCGATACTCCTGAGATGCAACCACCAATGGAAGTTTTCCACAAAAGAACAGAGAAACATGAACCACTAAATGTTGGATGAGCATATGTACCAATAAAATATTAAGGAGCAGGACTGCAACAACCAACTTTTCATATGCAGAATTGACAAAGTGAAAGCTGAAATTCTTCAGGTACCTGTCATGGGTGTATGAAGAGAATGGTAGGTCAAGAAGCAAGCATCCAGATCCTGTAATGTTGGTCCCTTTGGAATCCTGTATATTGGATACCTACAACAGTCACATAACAACCAGTAAGTCGTATATAGAGATGCATGTCCATGTGCTAAGAAAAGGTGCAAGGTTATTGTAATTATACCAGGCCACAGAAATCCAACTGGAAGACAGTAGATCACAACTTCCTAGTGTTTTAAGTAAGGGAAAGCGCAGGGAAAGAAAAGTTATCTGCGACAGCAGAAAAATAAGAAACTGAGAAAAGGTTAAATATTTAATCCCTTTATTACTACGAAAAACTATATCCAAATGTGTTTCGAGTAACAACTGAAGGAAGAGGAAACTGACCTTGCTAGCTAAAGGTTCCTGACTTTGAGGTTGATCTGGCTCATCCTGCTCAAGATACTCAAACAACAGGCAACCTTGAGAATTCCCAGATTCACCCTCATCACAAGTTAAACCTTCCTGAAGGGCAATATTCTGATCTCCCAATGATACCCGATCCATTCTAAGAGGAATCTCACTTGCGCGATTGTGAAAACCTCGTTGCTTTCTCGAATAACTTGAGCAACCACTTTTGTGTTCACAATCACTGCTTCCATCACTACTTGAGTCCTTGGAATAGTCGGAATCCCTGTCCTCAACTAGTCGCCTATCACACAAGGTAACAATCAGTTTTCTGAACAGAACAAAATGACGGCAAAGCCTAAAATGTACTCAACTAAAAATCAACCAATATCTATCAATATTTAAATAGAAACGGATACGTACATTAAATATAACATTCTATGGGGCTTTTTTATATAAGTTATGGGGAAGAGGTCAAACTTGCATAAAAAGTTAGGGACAACATGAAATATAAACACAGCATCTTTCACTTTAAAATGACATTACTAGAATAGTTAAGCAAATTTTGACAATATACAGCTTACACCACGAAATGACACAAACTTAATAAACCACAGAAAGGCATAACAAACCAAAAAAAAAATATAGTAGCATGAATACCAGAACTAGGCTGCGTCAATAATTATAAATATTACAAGAAATATATTAGATGCAAACCCTCTAGATGGAAGATAACCAAAGAGATGCAATTTCTGCCCCACAAGACAAGAATTATCTTTCTTAAATAGCAAAGAACAACTAGCAGTGTACCTCTACAACTTCATTAAAGCAGTGGCAAACATGATAAGTAGTGCTTAAAGAAATCAAACATTGCAATGAAAATTACTCGCAATATACAAGAATATTGCCAATGTTATCCTGTATGATACGATTTAAAAGTTAAAACTCTTGAGATCAATCTACCAGAATTTTGAATACCGGGATTTCAAGGACGATTTCGACGAGTTTCCAGAAGGGTATCCATATAGTTGAATACCCGACAAATGGGCACATAGTACTGACTCACAGAATCAGTACTATTCAACATCAAAGGCACTCCAGCACCATATGCACTCCACTGCTTGAAGGCCTCCCATAAATCCCCCAGTGAAAAGTGGGGTTGAAATTCCACATCACGACTCACCCATCCTCTCACTGTCGTCTGAAAATATAAAATCAAATTACAAAACCAATAAACAGGAGATTTCATGACTAAATTTTAATTAACTAACATAAAAACTAATTTCAACCAGACTTCATTACTCCATCTTCTCGTTGTCCTCTGAAATTATAAAATCAAGTTACAAAAACTATAAATCGGAGATTTCATGACTAAATCTTGACAAATTACAATAAAAACTGAGTTCAACCAGACTTTATTACCTTCGATAGATATTGAGGAGGAAGAGATGGTGTAATAAATTCGAGAAAGCGTTCTAGATTACACTGCGACGATGATGACGGCAAAGCGAACGGCTTTTCCTGAGGCTCTTCGGACTGCTCTCGATTCGACCGCGATTGACTCGCAGTAACATCACTCTGAGCTTCCCGATTCCCTCCAGTGTTCGCCACACTGTTAAATCGATCTTCTTCGTTACGACTCCGGCCAAACCGAAATTCAGACCCCGACATATCCACAGACCTCACAAAAGCCTAATACATATATGATTCGGAAAGGTGGAGTTTTTTTATGCAAATTGAACTGAAACAGGTCGATTGAAAATGAAGTGACTTGGCTAAGGACTCTAGCAGACGAGTACGAGATCGAATTAACCTATTCTGTTTCGACGAGTTCGGCAAACTCAAGAATTTGAGTAGACCATAGCTATGTTGAATCAGATCAGAACAACGATGCTTGATGTACATGTGTCTATCGATATGTGTAGACAGACAAACCAAATTGAATACGTGACAGGTCGAAAGGTGAAGAGACAGAGACAGAGACAGAGACAGAGACAGAAAAGAATAATTAGTAGTTGTGTTCATCTATTACTATCTAATAATATTCAGAGGAATTTGATAAAATTCAAATGAAATTTAAAATATGATAATTTAAATATATGTTATTTTTTAAATAAATGAATTTCATCAATTTTTTCAATTGAACTCACACAATTTATATTCATCTAAAGAATGATATGTATTTAAATTTTAGCTTTTAATTTCATTCAAATTATATAATATTTTCTTAATATGTACAATAAACTAATAATAATTATTCATTTATCTTTCATGTGAGTCAATAAATTATTTAAGTGAAATTTATTTTATCAATTTAAAATTTTATTATTGATTAATAATATTATATTATTAATATTGACATGATATGATATGACAGTTGCATTCAATATTTTCTTGAAAAATGTTATTTAATATCAGTACTATTAAGTGCAAAGACATGTCGTTACAAAAAAATTGGTTTAATTACATTGGAGGTAACCAAAGTATAAAATTTATCTGATTTTAGTCTCTAATGTTTTAATTGTATTATTTTGATCCCTGATATTTGATCAAGAGTTATCCAAAAATCGTAAATAATTTAGACGTTGTCTACTTGAGGGATTATATAAAAACATATTCAATGTTTTAGTGACCAAAATGATACAATTAAAATATTGGGAACCAAATGAGATAAACTATTTACTTTAGGGACCTCCAGTACAATTTATCCAAAAAAATAATATAAACTACACATAATTGTCCTCAAACAATTGTATAAAGTCAAATTTATACAATTGTATAAGCGCAATTTCTATCTAGATTTAATTTATTGACTTAATTTTTTAACTTAATTTACTATAGTCTTTGAATTGATTGTAGGCTCTATTAAACATTGTAACGTGGTGTTAATGTAATAGTTTTAGTGAAATCATATCATTGAGTCATATTTTTAAGTCCCAATATCATTACTCATTGTATAAAGACTGGTGTTTTTCTTATATACCTTATTTAGTGATCTTATTTGGCGACTTTATCATTATTTACCATTAGATTGATAATGAATTCTACTATCAATTCAATGACTATGATTCATCATATCACCAAATAAGATCACTAAATTAAATACAAATAATATTTTTCACTCTTAAATATCTAAAATACCATGCACTTGAATAAATATATTCGTTATAAAATACATTTACTCGTTGAGTGACCTTTCATGTCTATCTTTTCTTTCTCATCACCGCTTAAATTATCTATACTATTTTAAAATATTAAATATTCTTCAAAATATTTAATTTTCTATTTCAACCCTTCATCAACTCGATACAATTGGAGGCCAGAATCGATCAATATTAATGAGACCTTTTTTTTAAAAAATAATTTTAATTTTTTAGGCATTTTGAGATGAAAATTTGTTATTACATTTTTATTAAGTTTGACTAACATTTTTTTTTATTGGCTGAACGATTAATTCGCTTAGCCTTTCTTATATATAGTTGATCTTATAGAGAATTTTATTAGTTTTAATTTTAAAAAGCTTATAGAAAAATATTATAGCATGTCAATAATATTCTGTGAAAAAAAATATAAATTTGAAAAAGAATCTATTATTTTCATATAATTCAGTATTTCAAGTATACTGCTTTCTTCTGTTTTTAAATTTTTTGTTAAAATATTTAAGTCTAAAAACAAATCTAGACCATCAATAATAGAGAAACATTTGAAATTTTTTTATAATATGTTTCCAAATTAAATAGAAAATTGCAATTTCTTTTTTACTTAAGATCAATACATTGTGTTGTCTCGCAATCGATATTTTTATTAATTTTTTTATCTACAAATTGATAGTTATTCATGAAAAATAAGTTTGGTTGGTTTAAAATGAAATAGAGAAATTAATATTAATTGTACATTTTGAAAGAGAGTGATAGACTTAATTTGAATTGAACTTGTAGATTTTTTTTCCATTTAAACATTTTTGTTTTAATTTCAAATGTTATTGTGTGTAGCTAATGGGTTGGACTCTTGGGCCAAACTCTGTTTAGCAATTTTTACTTGGTTAGGATTTTTTAAGGGTTTTAAGAGGGCTGGTATTTTTTTAGAAATTATAGGACAAAAAGTACTACTTTTAAAAATATAGGTCAAAAAGTACACAACCTCTAATAAATTTCTAAAATACCATCTTCAGTAGAATAGGAACTGATTCCTATATTTTTGCTTCTACAACTAAAATTTAAGGGATCTCAACTGTTACACATAAATCCCTTCAATATAGCTGAAAACCTCATTTTTCTAAAAACTTCTATAAAACATCTATTTGAATTTCCAAAACTTCCGATGTAAATGTCAGCCAAGTGGGAAAAAAAAATGTGCACCACATTTCATCCAGACTTCATAAAACGTTAAGGTTAATTTTGAAAAAAAAATAATATAATAACAAAAAATAATAAAGTAACAAAAACACACACATGACACATTTTTTATTTGTCTATAGTAACAAAAATTACATTTCAGTTCTGTAACACTCATTTAAGAAAAAGTTACCAAGTCAAGTAACGCAACAGTACTTAGGATACACAAAAATGATTGATTCTTTATGTAGATAATAGACATGCCAACTTGATCATGTCAATAAATGTCGTGACATTGACTTGCAATAGTGTGACATTGGTTTCGAACAGTGTGAATTTAATTTATAGTAGGGTGACATTTTCTAGTACCTGTGTGATATTATCTTGTAGCACTGTGACATTATTGTGCGAGACAGTAAATTATCTTCCGAATTAAAATCATTATCTTGATTATTACGATCATTCTCATTTGAGTCATCATCATTGACATTTATCTTTACATGAACATAATTGACGTTAAGAGATCGTAACAATTTTTTATTTTTTTTAAAAAAAACATATGGACGACATTGTAGCAGTGTGAATTTGGTTTGTAGCAGTGTGACATTTTCTAGTACTAGTATGACATTGTGTTGTAGCACTGTGACATTATTGTGCGAGACAACAAATCATCCTCCGAATTAGAATCATCATATTGATTATGACGATTTATATAAAAAAAAATTATACAAATATGAAAAAGACATGAATGTTTGAATAACTTAAGTTGAATGAAGGAAAAAGATATAATTTAAAATTCAAAAATGCTATTCCATAAATTTAGGAAACTGAATTTCTAATATAACTGTCATATTTGTATCCCATTTAATAAAGGAAACAGGCAATTTCGTAAGAGAAAAAAATTTAATTCAGTAAAAGTGTACCTCTTCACCAAACATTTACACACAAAGGTACTTATATACATATGTTTTATATTTAAGTACTTTTACACAAATAAGTATGAAATAGTGTATTTTTTCACAATTTTTCCATTTTTTAAAGCTTATTTTTATAGTCAGAATTTTTTACCTAGATCATATTTTAACGCCTATGAAATTTGGGGCCTACTTCAAATGTGGGGCCTAAAGCCCTGCTTCAATTCCTATACTATTAGATCGGCTGTGTTGAAAGATACACTTCCAGCAAGACGGAGCATTCTACTTACTTTTGTGATCACTTTGCTATTTTCTTCGAAGTCAATTTTGTTCCCGGTAACCCCTTAATCATGTTTCCCGATATAAATGAGATTGACATTTTGGAGACTCTACAACTTCTGTAGAAGAAGAAGCATATGGGAACATGGAATGGTTCAGCAACATAACTGATGCATACATACATTGAATATTTAGTATCATACATTGTTATACAAATTAAATTTACTTATGCTCCTGATGGGACATTTTCAAATACTCCAAGATGACGACACATGTTTTCGGCGTTAATGGATACTCGCCGATCAGATCACGACACGTGCGCGTCGGTCCATAATCCCCCTTCCTCCGAGGATACTATTCATAGGGATCAAGGATCTCCTGTATCCCATAGACCGACACGTATCCCTCTGTCAATTTTGGGTACATCGGCCCCTAGCGACGCTGGACCCTTGGCACCGAGGTATATCTGTCTACAAAACATTTCTGCTCCTGCAGAGGTATTGATGGACAGATCACTAGCCTAGGCTAGACTAGACTAGCCATCATGACCTCGTCTTACTCAAATGGTGTCAGGAGGCACAAGAAAACAGAAGGCTCAACCAAGGGGGAATGGGCACATGGCGTATTGTGTCAGATCAGAGACAAAAAGACTAGAATGTCTTTGCTGACACACGACTTGGGAAATCAAGTTTTTAATGCACATTTCCCTTGATGAGACAACATTTAATGCATGAGAGGTTGGAAGTGAAAAGTAATAAATGTTCCAAAGCCTGGGCATTTAATACACCCCCGTCGAGGGAAGGTCATTAAACGATCGACAGACCGAGGAGAAAGCATTAGTTGCTCGGGGTCTCGAGCAGTTAAGAATGAGAACATTACTCATAGAAATTAGTGTGCACACTGCCCACCTCCAATGATTACCTACTAGCAATGATAAGTTTTTAAGGTATAAATAGTCCTCACAAACACACAAAGGAGGTATGCAAAAAACCCTTTCTCAAGCATCATACGGTGTTTTCTTCTTCTCCTCTCTAAAGGAATTGACTTGATCGTCGGAGGGGATACATCAAAAAACACTCCGGCGTCTTTTTAACCTGTTTTTCTTTGTTTCAGGAGCCTCCCAGGCGACTCATAAAAACAATTC